TTAACAGATAATTAACAGATAAGTTTGCCAGTCACTGGTCTAGAATAGCTTCCGTTTTTCTTACAATCACAGTAATTCAGCATGTTATCTCATGACTTTAAATTGGGGTTCTATAAAAATCTAAATATTGATTATACATTCCAAGATCCCTTAATGGCTTTTCATGGGATGCTGTTTGGGGGTTGGTTTGGTTGGTTGGTTGATTCCATTGCATTTGTTTTTAAGTATAAATCAGGAGCTTTGTAAGAGTACTTCCTCTTTTCAGTGTCCCTAACTCCGATTCCTCCTGTTGTACTGGTTCAGATCAGCCCTGTGTTGTTATCACCCACATTTGGGCTCTGATTTTCTTCCATATATCTATGCAGGAAAGTCTGTAGTAAAGCAGTGAAATCCCTGTTTCCGCTTACCTACAGAAGGNCTATGCAGGAAAGTCTGTAGTAAAGCAGTGAAATCCCTGTTTCCGCTTACCTACAGAAGGTCAAGGCTTCTTCTCAATTCTCCTTGTTAAGAGGAGCCGAAGCTGCTCAGCACTGAGTAATTTGGAGGATTTTTCTCTGTGATCCTAGGTTTTGTATTTGAAGAACAACCATCCCAGGAAAGGATTGGAGGCAGAACTAGAGATAGAAGAGTAAACCTGGCTTGGGTTGCTGAGGATATTTATCAAGTTCCTGGGTTGTGATGTACATTATCAGACCACTCCCATATAGCTAATTCAAATGACTAGTAGAAAGATTTCGAGAAGTGGAGAGACAAAGCAAGATATTAGGCTTTGCAAATTAGGTTTTCCCAAATGCATGAGATTAATCAACCAGCCAGAAATCAGTCAAGATAGCCAAAGAGGTACATTTTTTTTTTTAAAAGATGACCGGTAAGGGGATCTTAACCCTTGACTTGGTGTTGTCAGCACCACGCTCTCCCAAGTCAGCTAAACGGCCATCCCTATATAGGGATCCAAACCCATGGTCTTGGTGTTATCAGCACCACACTCTTCCGAGTGAGCCACGGGCTGGCCCTAAAGAGGTACATGTTTCATATTTCAGCTCTTCCCAATGCACATTGAGGGCATTCAGTATTCTTTGCAATGTGCTTAATCAAGCCTGTCTTTTGGTTTCTGTGCTTTGTGTTTCTAACGCTGTTCTGATTTATGTCTTACACCCACTCTCTCACCCACCAGTGCAAGGAGGGTGGCTTTCCCCAGGAACTCTGGTTGGGCGTCAGCGCAGATGCCGTCTCCGTCTACAAGCGTGGGGAGGGAAGACCGCTAGAAGTCTTCCAGTATGAACACATCCTCTCTTTTGGGGCACCCCTGGCAAATACATACAAGATCGTAGTTGATGAGCGGGAGCTGCTCTTTGAAACCAGTGAGGTAAGGGGCAAATCAAGACAATCTGTTCATTCATGGGCTTGACAAAACAGAAAAACAATACCCCATTTCCTGATGCCTTTGACCAAGTCATTTTATTTGAATATTTTGCTTTAAAACAGACGAAAATGTAGTGTGGTGGCTCCTCCCCAGTGGCCAGTTCCTTGCAGGCCAAAATTTGATAGCCCCAGATTTCTTCAGTATGCCTTTGCAACAGAGAAATTTGGTTCTGTTCTATCAGAGAGTCTTACCCATGGAGGGAAGGAGAAAGGGAAATTAC